GGAGTGAAGGTGAAGAAAGGTGAAGTAGGGCCTTGAAGACAAATTATACTGACTTCACAATTCTGTCTCCTACTGGGACTCATTACCTTTATTCAATTGGTGGAGGTCAGGTGACCAGAAGTAATGATTTCTCAAGCCACAAGGACCCAGGGTCCCACTCAGAATCTGGCCAGAGGCCAACAATAGGAGGCGAACATCAAATATCCCATATCCCAAGGGGGCCCTATCAAGTCTCTGGGCCGCCGAGAGGAAGGGGAAACCACCAGCCTCTCAGATCAGCCATCCACCTTCCGGCAATCACGATGGATGTGGAAGCCAGATGGCCTTCACATCCGCTCACCAGGCAGGTGGAACCGACCCTTAACACCCCACCCTCTGGGCTCAGTCATTTCATTTTAAGAACCAATGGGATATAAAATTTAAGCGCATAACCACTAATAATTCTACAAAGAACTGGATTTACATGAGTTTAGTATTTAAAAGAAGCAGAACTAAATTAGGAGGTTAGAATTAACTGATACACACTACTATATATAAAACAGATAACCAACAAGGACCTTCTTATAGCACAGGAAGCTATACTTAACATTTTGCAATAACCTATAAGGGAAAAGAATCGGAAAAAGAAAAAAAAAATATATATATATATATATAAATGAATCACTGTGCTGTACACCTGAAACTAACATAATATTGTAAATCAACTATACCTCAATAAAATAAAATACCAAGCAGAACCTCTGTCATTATCTTTGCAAAGAAAAGGTATCCTATTGTATACCTTAAAAAAAATAATCATTGCAAAAATTGATAAAATCCCCCTTTTCCAGATTGCTAAACTGAGCTATAAGAAAATTACCAAGAGCACGAAGTTTATCATACACAAACCCACTGTTAATCCTCCATCCTCAAAGCCCTTTTCCAGCAAGCACTCCTGCTTCCTCTATTCATTACCCAAGGCCTCCACCAACGCTGGTGGTATTGAGTGAGCACCAGAAACCCCTCTCTCCCCGAGGAAATGCAGGCTAAAATTACCTCTAGTCCAGTTTTATGTGGTGCCTTTAAGTTGTCATTTTTCATTTCCTAAATACTTTCAGGAGGTAAAAGTTTGAACAGTACGAAAGGGATAGTGTGTAAGTAACTCCCTCTCCCTCCTTCCCTCTCTTGACCTCTAGTCCCTCAAGTCCCCTTACCAGAAAAACATCAGCCATCTGTTTCTTGAGCATCTGCCCAGATATGGTCAGTGCATGTAATAATATACATAGATAAGATTTATAGACTGTTTTGCTCCTTAAATTGCAAAATCCCACAGTAAATTCCCAGAAATGTAATTTGCACAGAATCTTACAGGAAACACAACATGAATGTTAGAAACATCCAGCATCCTGGAAGCTTTAGGGGAAGGGACAAGGCTTCTTGCAATGATCTGAAACCATAATATATACACTCCTCATTTTTATATCTGCCATCTTTTCTGAAACCAGTTTTAGCTTGTATCCACTCTAGAAGCAATAGCTTTCCTAAATGTACTACTCACTGATTTAAAATTATATCTTATCATCTGTATGGGAACTATTTTTTCAGCTTCAAGAGGAAGCCCAAAGCTCTAATAATTCAGGATCTAATGAGCAAGTCCAGATTCGCTCTGTGTGGTTCATTATTTTATAGACTTTGAAACGGTCTCCTCTAAGCCTCTGTCCTTGTGGACCCAGAAGTTTTCTTCAGAACTAACCAAATGAGAAAAACACTGCTCCTGATGGCTCACAGAAGGCGCCTCGGAGACGTGACAATCCCAGCCTCGGGCAACTTCTATATTTTTAAAATCAGGTAGGTGACAGTTTTGCTAACACAGGGCATTAGCAATCATGAGTGTGGAAGCTAAATTCCTATTTAGAGCAAAGAGAGTGATCATGCTAGGAAGGGTTGGTGGCCCCACTGCCACCTCAGTTAAATATTAGCTACCCTCAGACTCAGCAATTTCTGGCTCCCCATCCTCTGACTCAGTTCCTTTTAAGTCTGGATCCTTCATTCATACAGCATAGCGGGCAAGAGCTTGGGCTTTGGAGGCAGGTAGACTTGAGTTTAAATGACCTTTTACCAAGTCACTTAAACTCATTAAGGCTCAGTTTTCTTATCTGTAAAATGACTCCTTCACTGGGTCATTGAGATATCCTCTTTTTTTTTTTTTTGGCTGTGCCCTGCAGCATGAGGGATCTTAGTTCCCTGACCAGGGATTGAACCTGTGCCCCCTGCAGTGGAAGCTCGGAGTCTTAACCACTGAACCGCCAGGGAAGTCCCACTGATACATCATTTTTGTAAAGCACTAAGTACAATGCCTTTCATGAGGACCAGCTACATAATCTATGGGACCTGCTACAAAATGCAAACGTGTGGGCCCTTGTTCAAAATTTATTGAGGATCTCAAGATGGTGACAGCAGAGCATCAAAGTGTGGGGCCCTGTGGGACTGCACAGGTGGCAGGCCCATGAAGCCAGCCCTCCCTTTCAGATAATAAATATACAATAGATGGTAGCTATACTATCTTACCAATTTCCCAGCTTACATTTGTACCTTACCCTCCCTGCAGGCTCTCCACTCCCTATGTGATGCCTAATCCACTCAACTTGGAAAGTTTCACTGGGCCATTACACAAACAGGCACTCTGCCTCAGAAGTAACCTGCATTTTTACAAGAAAAAAACTGACAAAAATGGGGGGATCTAAAACAGAAGGTGATGTTACCATAAGCTCATGCCAGACACACTCCCACCTTAGAGCCTTTGCTGTGGCTTTTCATCCTGCTGAGATAACATTCTCCCCTACTTCAGGCCTAGAGTGTAAGCTTCTCAAGGTCAAGAATTTTGAGGTTTTTTTGGTTCACTGATGTATCCCAACTGCTTAGAACAGTGTTTCGCACATACAAGCTCTTCAATAACCATTCATTGAAAGAACAAATAAATCGTGAGTGAATGCATCATCAGGCCATCCTTTTTCCACTTGGAGGTCAGGCCATTTCTCATTATGGACAAATGGCAATAATAACCAGCTCTGCAACTGGATACGCAAGAGAGTTCAAGAAACAGATGGGAAAGTTATCTATTTTCAAATCTCTGCCAAACTCCCCTTAGTTTAGAAGGAATATAACCCAGTTGTCTGTGCTACCAAATCCAATACGTCTTTCAACACTAATTCATATACTCAGTTTGTGGGCCACGGCTTGCAGCAATGACGAGTGGCATTTTATATGAGTGAGCTACCCAGAAGAGAAACACGTCCCTAAGTGGCATACATAAAAGTAATTAAAAAAAAATCAAATTAGAAGAAAAATAATCACCCATCACTGCTTCATTACAATGACATAGAAAAATTAAGCCCTTGCTACCAAAAGGAAGGTAAGGTCTCTACCCCTACAACTGTGCATAAAGATGTCAGTTAGAGCCAGTCCAAGCTGTCCTGCCTGAAGTTAATGTCACAGTCACGGGTAGCATCTCAAACCCTGGCATAAGATCTCAGAAATGCAAGTCATGAGGCCTGGAGAAAGGGAATGTGGATACTGTGCATAATTCATCCCACCAGCTGAAAGACAACCCAAAGCATTACAGCTGCGGGATGAGACATTTTCACAGCACTCGTGAGAACAAAAGAGAAGAGCTGCCCCTCGCAAATGGTTAAAATGTGGCCTATGTCAGGAGAAACATCTGGAGATACTATGAGAAGATATTTGACGGCCGGCGTTCTCTGAGCTCTGTCCTGGCGACAGGAAGCACATCTGGGCCCCCAATCCAAAGGCAGCCCACGTAGTGTCCTCGGGACAGACTCAGTGAGCAAAGCCCAGAAGATCACACCACACATCTGGCTTTTGACCCGGCATGAACTTCCACTACCTCTCTGCCCTGCACTCGGCATGTTTTCAACAAGCCATTCTCAGCCACCACAAATGCCTTGGTGGGAATCACAGGGAGGCCCTCATCCCTTTTCCCAAAATAACGTCAGCCAGAGGCAAAGGCCAAAGGGGTGGAGCCTGCAGGCCATTTTGCAAAAGTTTCAAATATCCTGGCACTGACTCCATTAAAAGAATCATGAAGGGGAAATAGCCAAGCCTCTCATTTTCTCATCAGTGTCTCTCTCTATACAAACTCTGCATTTGTAAAAAAGAAACAAAGAGATCTCACAATAAAGTCATATTATCAGTGCTGGCTGTTGGAAACAAAATTTCATTTTGCAAATTTAATACCAAAAACTTGAAACTGAAAACTTTATAAGAAATGTGTGTGCTCTGTGACAGTTTAATGCCCAAAGGGATCTCTGAGGCATAAGACTGAGCAAGGAACTGGTGAGCTGTCCCACCTTCTCCAAGGCCTTTCTGAAATATGCATTGCCTCAGATTTTCCATTCTCCTTTGCTGATCTTTCCTCTGAAGAAGGAGGAAGCAGATTTCTTGGCTGGACAGTTAAAGGAGCCAAATAAAGTAGTCTTCCTCCTAATATGAAGGGGCTTTTTTTCAAAACACACACACACACACACACACACACACACACACACACACACAGGTATACTTCCTAAAATTCAAATAAGATAGTAAAGGAAGAGAAAGAATATGACAGCGAAGGAAAGAAAATGCTACTTTATTTTGCCCAGTTTTAAAAAAATCTTCCCACAAAAATTAGTAGCAAACTAAACAGAGGCAGATTATCAAAACATCTACGCCTTCTCCTGCTTTACAGCGCAATAGGAAATGATATAGCATATGTGAAAAGCCCTCGGGGAAAAGAGTATAAGTTGCTGAAGGAATACAAAGCGTCGTTACTATTATCAAAAGTTTAAAAGAGACAGCGGCCCACCTTCACTGTTCAGCTAGAAAAACCACACCTCTCCCCAGATCTCTCCATTCTGGGCATGCTCTTCCCAAATGCTTCCTTCCCAGTTCCCTGTCCCAAGCTGTTCCTTTCATGACACTTCCCCCTCTCAAGCCGCCCCTTCGCCGCCCCGCCAAGTCCTCACCGTGTGATACATGAGAGCCTCGGTTTCTCCGGGCTCTGACAGCTCGCTCAGCTTGCGGTCCCACTGCAGGACGCTCTGCTCCCCGCTCTCCAGCACCTCCATGGTGGTCCGAGGCGTGCGGGGCCGAGGATGCTGAGGGCAGGAGGGGAGCGGGTAGGGCGGCCTCGGAGGGCGAGATCCGCCTCTGCGTGAGTGTGTGTGCGTGTGTGTGCGTATGCGTGTAGCTTATGCACTTAGAAAGGAAAACGTTCGCTCCTCTGCCTGAGAGAGAATTGCCAAGGGCTCCGGTTCAGCGTCCTCGGAGACCTGAGAATTCCCAGAGGAGACAGACTGTCTAGAGATCAGACCGAAGGCTGAGGAGAATAGAGCAGGGTGTGTATCCAAAATAAAGGCAGGAGATCAGTACTCATCCCAAGAAAAGCCCTTCTCAATAAGCTCACTTTCCACTACTGCTCCAGACACAAACTTTGAGATTCCCCAAGGCTCCTCGGCTCTGCTCCAGGACACAGCTATGTCTCCTCCTCCCTCCAGGGCGGGGACCAATCGGATGCTCACTTCTCCCGCTCTACCCAATCAGAAGTCTTTCTCTCCGTCTAGAGGCAGGGGCAGCGAGAAGTCTCCGCCCAAGCTTTGGAATGTGGGCGGGCAGCGCCTTTGACGTCATCGGGGAGCTACTCCGGTTTTACTACCGCCGGCAGCCGAGGTGTGCGGCAGCAGACAAATGGAGTGCTTGAGCCCAGGAGTGATGGACTGGGGGTGCAACCAATGAGGAAGGAGCGCCTGGGAGGGACAGCCAATCAAATAGCGACAAGAATACATTTTATAAGAGGGAGGGTGCGCTCAGTCGCCTGAGAATCCAGAGAAATTAGCGCGCGCGTCTAGAGGAAGAGAGTGCTGCTGGGAGCGCCGATTTACGTACTGTCCTAAATATTTTCAAGTAGTTTAGCTCATTTGAGTCTTTCAGGATTTTTAAAAAATAAGTCACATATTACACACAAATATATTTATATTAGCACATATCTGGCAAATTGTAATTGCTTGTGCTTCAGGTTTTTCTCCTGCTTTCTGTTAGACTCTTCTCCTGACGTGTTTTTTATGGGCTCTCCTTATTCTATTTTTTTCTTTTATTTACCCAACAGACATTGTCGAAAAGAGCCAACGGCTTCCTTTTCCAGGTCATAGAGATTTTACCTCAGTGGAAGAGTCAGACAATAAACAGGTAAAGAAAGAAACGTATAATGTCAGAAACTGGTAACTGCTGTAAAGAAAAATCAGAGAAAGGTAAGAGGATGGGGCAGATAGATGCTATTTTAGATAGCCATCAGGGTAGGTGACGTTTGGGAACAGACCTGAATGAAATGAGGTTTGGGGAGAAGCTGGTGTCTTACAGACAGCCAAGGAGACAGGTGTGGCTGCGGATTGAGGTGCCAGGGAGTGAGTGAGGGGAGAGGTGGCCTGAGAGATGGGCAGGGGACAGACCACCAGGCCTGCCTATATTGGGAAAGAGATAGCCTCTTCTAAATTATTTTTCCTCAACTTGTGATTTTTTTTCCTCCTTTCAGACTCCTTTTTTTTAAATTAATTTTTATTGGAGTATAGTTGCTTTACAATATTGCGTCAGACAGCTTTTAAGGAAACAAAGTGCTTGCATATATAGTTTGCTCATTTTAAATGTAAGGGAGTCTTTGCCAGTTGTCTCTAGAAGTTTCTTACAGTGGCACATTCCGGTATGGAGGTGTTACTTTGTTCCCTTCGCAAGTATTTTTTGGTGGATAGGGTCAGTCCAATTTTGTCTTAGAACTCTATGGTGTCTTTAAGTGGTAGTTTATTATAGAAACTGTTCCATTTGTCTGGTCCTATCTCCTGGGTCGTTGGAGAATATTTTAATGCGTAAGTAGAAATTCTAGTTTATGGGCCCCGTACCTTCCTTGTAAAATAGTTTTCTCATTTTTCTCTTAGTCCTTGGTTTTTATTTTCCAGTCTGCTACCTCCTTCACCACATCCTTTTCATAGATCACCTTTTCAATTTTTAGCAACTTTTTCCATTTTTCTTAGCATAAGACTCAGCATGAGCAAGTGAGGTAAGAAACATGTACACCCTCCTTCAACTGGAATACAAGCATGTATCTGTCAAACATTTCTGCCTTAGGCAACGTCAGTCCCTGGTTTTGCCCCATGTGGTTGGCAGTTTCTAAGATGGCTCCGATGATCCTGCTTCCTGGTGTTCACACCCTCTGAAACTGCCTCCCCTTGAGCGTAGGCTGGACCCGGGGTCTTCCTTCTAGCAAAGAGAATGTGGCAAAAGTGATGGAATGTCAAAAAATATTCTGGCTCCTGTCTGGCTCGTTCTCTCCTCCTCTCGTTTGCTTGCTCTGATCTGTGAGCTGCCCTATGGAGAGGCCCACATAGCAAGGAACTGAGGAAGGTGTCCAACTAACAACCAGCAAGGAACTGAGTCCCTCAATCCGATAACGCAGGAGCAACTGGACCCTGTTAATATAACCACTTGAGTGACTGTGGAAGCAGATCCTCCCCGAGTTGAGCCTTGAGATGACTGCAGCCTTGCGAGAGACCCAGAGTCAGAGGACTCAGCTATGCCATGCCCAGATTCCTGACCCGCACAAACTAAAGGTAAGAAGTTTATATTGTTTTAAGCCACTGACTTTTTCCTTCTTAAAATCAGTAACATAATAATTGGTTTCCTAAATACTTGATTAAATTTATCTGTATTGCCATAGTAATAGAGTAATGTCACAATTCCTACATGGTTTTTCAGCCTCCTTTGTTGCATGTATGCTTCTCCCATTCAAGGTATGAAGACTTCTCACCAGCACATTTCTTGTTCTATATCTTGAGTCTAGAGTTTGTCCCTTCCCCTAACATAATTAGGACTTAAAAATTTAGCTGACTTTTTTTCCAGCTTCTCTGGCATCCCTTAAAAAGTAGCAGCACTCAGGAATTCCCTGGCGGTCCAGTGGTTAATACTCGACACTTTCACTGTGGTGGCCCAGGTTCAGTCCCTGGTGGGGGAACCAAGATCCTGCAAACTGCACAGCGCCACCAAAAAAACAAAACAAAGTAGCAGTGCTTGCTCCCCTGTCTGGTTTTGGGTTTGGTTTTGTTTGGTTTTTTTGAGATATAATTGACATATCACACTTATTAGTTTCAGGTGTACAACATAATGATTCGATATTTATATATATTGTGAAATGATCACCACAATGTCTAGTTATAGCCACCATGCTGTATATTATAGCCCCAGGACTTATGTATTGTATTTTATAACTGGAAGATTGCCTTTTGACTCCCTTCGCCCATTTTGCCCACCCCCAACCCCTGCCTGGGAATCACCAGTCTCTTTGTATCCTTGAGTTTGCTTGTATGTTTGTTTAGACTCCACCCAAGTGAGATTATACAGTATTTGTCTTTCTTTGTCTGGCTTATTTCAGTTACCATAATGCCCTCAAGGTCCATCCATGCTGTTGCAAATGCCAGGATTTTCTTTTTTTTTTTTTTTTTTTTTTTTTTTGCGGTACGCGGGCCTCTCACTGTTGTGGCCTCTTCCGTTTCGGAGCACAGGCTCCGGACTCGCAGGCTCAGCGGCCATGGCTCACGGGCCCAGCCGCTCCGCGGCATGTGGGATCTTCCCGGACCAGGGCACGAACCTGTGTCCCCTGCATCAGCAGGAGGACTCTCAGCCACTGCACCACCAGGGAAGCCCCAGGATTTCCTTCTTTTTAATGGCTGAATAACATTCCGGTTTATACATATACCACATTTTCTTTATCCATTCATCCACTGATGGATGAATGTGTCTTGGCTATTATAAATAATGCTTCAAGGAACGTGGGGGTCAGGATATCTTTTTGAGTTAGTGGGTTTTTTTTCCGTTGGTTAAACAACCAGAAGTGGAATTGCTGGATCATAGGATAACTGTATTTTTAAGTTTTTGAGGAACTCCATACTGATTTCCAGAGTGGCTGCACCAATTTACATTTGCACCAACAGTGTACAAGTTTTCCCTTTTCTCCACATCCATGCCATCTCTTGTTTTTTCTTGTCATTTAACAGCTATCCTAACAAGTGTGAGGTGATACCTCATTGTGGTTTTGATTTGCGTTTCCCTGATGACTAGTGATGTTGAGCACCTTTTCATATTCCTGTTGGCCATCTGTATATCTTCTTTTTTTTTAAGTTATTTATTTATTTATTTGGCTGCATTGGGTCTTCGTTGCTATACACGGGCTTTCTCTAGTTGTGGCGAGCAGGGGCTACTTGGTGTGCAGGCTTCTCATTGCGGTGGCTTCTCTTGTTGCGGAGCACGGGCTCTAGGTGCATGGTCTTCAGTAGTTGTGGCACGCAGGCTCAGTAGTTGTGACGCGTGGGCTTAGTTGCTCCACGGCATATGGGATCTTCCCGGACCAGTACTCAAACCCATGTCCCCTGCGTTGGCAGGCGGTTTCTTAACCACTGCACCACCAGGGAAGTCCCTGTATATCTTCTTTAGAAAAATGTCTATTCAGATCCTCTGTCCATTTTTTAATCAGATTTTTGTGTGTTTTTTGCTATTTAGTTATACAAATCTTTTATTTTTTGGATATTAAACCCTTATCAGGTATGTGACTTGCATATATTTTTTCCCATTTAATAGGTTGCCTTTTCATTTTGCAGTTGCTTTCCTTTGCTGCACAAAAGACTTTTGGTTTGATGTAGTCTCAGTTTTTAATTTTTGCTTTTGTTCCCTTTGCTTGGTGACAAATCCAAAAAAAATCATTACCAAGGCAAATGTCAAGGATCTTACCACCCATGTTTTCTTCTAGGAGTTTTAGGGCTTCAGGTCTTATGTTCAAGTCTTTAATACATTTTGAGTTAATTTTTGTGTATTATGTAAGATAGTGGTCCAGTGTCACTCTTTTGCATGTGACTGTTCAGTTTTCCCAACATCGTTTGTTGAAGAGACTGTCCTTTTTTCATTGTATATTCTCAGATCCTTTGTCATAAATTAATTGAACATGTATGCATGGGTTTATTTCTGGGCTTTCTATTCTGTTACATTGATCTGTGTGTCTGTTTTTATGCCAATACAATAATTTTTTGATTATTATAGCTTTGTAATGTAGTTTGGAATCGGGAAGCATGATGCCTTCAACTTTGGTCTTCTTTCTCAAGATTGCTTTGGCTATTTGGGGTCTTTTCTGGTTCCATACAAATTTTAGGATTGTTTGCTCTACTTCTGTGAAAAATGCCATTAGAATTTTGGTAGTGACAGCATTGAAACTGTAGATCACTATGGGTAGTATGGACATTTAACAACATTAATTCTTCCAATACGTAAATGGAATATCTTTCCATTTATTTGTGTCTTATTCAATTTCTTTCATGAGTGTCATACAGTTTTCCATGTGTAGGTCTTCCACCTCCTTGGTTAAGTTTATTCCAAGGTATTTTATTCTTTTTCATGCAATTGTAAGTGAAATTATTTTCTTAATGTATCTTTCTGATAGTTCATTATTAGTGTATGGAAATGCAACATATTTTTACAATTGATTTTTGTATCCTGCCACTTTACTGAATTTGTTTTTTAGTTCTTAGAGTTTTTTGCTGGAATCTTTAGGGTTTGCTACATATAATATCATGTCATCTGCAAACAGTGACAGTTTCCTTCTTCCTATCTGGATGCCTTCTATTTCTTTTTCATGTACCTGTTGCTCTGACTAGGACTTCAATATTATTTTGAACAAAAGTGGTGAGGGTGGGAATACCTGTCTTGTCCCCGATCTTAGAGGAAAAGCTTTCAGATTTTCACCATTGAGTATGATGTTAGCTGTTGGCTTCTCATATATGGCCTTCATTATGTTGAGGTACATTTCCTCTATACTCACTTCTGAGATTTTTATCATAAATGAGTGTTGAATTTTGTCAGATGCTTTTTCTGCACCTTTTGAGATGATCATGTGATTTTTGTCCTTTATTTTGTTAATGTAATATATCACATTGATTGATTTGTGGATATTGAATCATCCTTGCATCGCTAGAATAAATCCCACTTGATCATGGTATATGATCCTTTTAATGTATTGTTGAATTTGGTTTGCTAGTATCTTATTGAGGATTTTTGCATCTGTGTTCATTAGTGATATTGGTCTGTCTTTTTCTTTTCTTGTGGTGTCCTTGTCTGGGTTTCATATCAGAATAGTGCTGGCTTGGTAAAATGAGTTTGGAAGTATTCTCTTTTCTTTTATGTTTTGGAAAAGTTGGAGAAAGATTGGTATTAATTCTTCTTTAAATGTGTGGTAGAATTCAGCAGTGAAACCATCTGGTCCTTGACTTTTGTTTGTTGGGAGGATTTAATCAAAATCAACTGATTCGGGGCTTCCCTCGTGGCGCAGTGGTTGAGAGTCTGCCTGCCGATGCAGGGGACACGGGTTCATGCCCTGGTTCGGGAAGATCCCACATGCCGCGGAGTGCCTGGGCCCGTGAGCCATGGCCGCTGAGCCTGCGCGTCCGGAGCCTGTGCTCCGCAACGGGAGAGGCCACAACAGTGAGAGGCCCACGTACCGCAAAAAAAAAAAAAAAAATCAACTGATTCAATCTCCTTATTAGTAATCAGTCTTTTCAGATTTTCTTTCTTCCTGATTTAGTCTTGGTAGGTTTATGTTTCTAGGAATTTATCTATTTCTTCTAGGTTGTCCAATTTGTTGGTGTATGTTCATAGTAGTCTCTTAAGAGCTTTTGTATTTCGGGACTTCCCTGGTGGTCCAATGGGTTAGACTCCACACTCCCAATGCAGGGGGCCCAGGTTTGGTCACTGGTTGGGCGGCGAACTAGATCCCACATGCCTGACGCAACTAAGAGTCTGCATGCCACAACTAAGAAATGCACATGCCACAACTAAGAAGTCCACATGCTGCAACTAAGAAGCCCACATGCCGCAACTATGAGCCCGCATGCCGCAACTAAAAGATCCTGCATGCCACAACGAATATCCCATGTGCCACAACTGAGACCCTGTGCAGCCAAAATAAATAAATAAATTTTTTTAAAAAAAGATCTTTTGTATTTCTGCATTTACTTTAGTGTTCTCTCCTTTTTTTTCTTGGTGGGTCTAACTAAAGATTTGTCAACTTTGTTTATCGTTTCAAAAAACCAGATCTTAGTTTCACTGATCTTTTCTATTGTCTTTGAATTTCTGTTTTGTTTGTATATGCTGTGATCTTGGTTATTTTCTTCCTTCTACTAACTTTGGGCTTCATTTTTTCTCCTTTTTTAAATTCCTTGAGGTTGTTTAGTTGATATATTTCTTGTTTCTTAATGTAGGCATTTATCACTGTGTTTTTGCTGCATCCCATAAGTTTTAGTATGTTGTATTTCCATTGTCCTTTGTCTCAAGGTATTTTTGATCTTTCTTTTGATTTCCTGTTTGACCCATTAGTCGTTCAGTAGCATGTTGTTTAATCCCCACATACATTTGAATTTTCTAATTTGCTTCTTGTAAATGATCTCTAGTTTCATACCACTGTGGTTAGAAAAGATGCTTGATAATGATTTCAATCTTCTTAAATGTATTAAGACTTGTTTTGTGGCCTAACATGATCCATCCTGTACACTTGAAAAGAATGAGTATTCTGTTG